CTATTTCATCTAAGGCTAAATCAAATTTAAAACACATTTGGCTTGACAGCATTCCAACAGTCCCAAATCAAATACAGCTATAAGAATTTCACTATTCAAACGGAAACCAACTAGAATACACAATGATTCATATGATCAAAGGCACAAACAATGAAAAAGTATAAACGGAACTCAAATAAGTCTACTGCCATGCTTTAAACTCTCATTTCCATCTCCAAACTGAAACTTACATCAGGTAAAATTCAGAAAATGTACCTGGAATTCAAAACAAAATAGAAAAATGAGGGATCAGCAGCAAACAGTAGCAGCCAGCCCAGATTCAATCAGTCAAATAGTGAAATCAGCTCAAGAAATCCAATGGAACAGTAAACCGATAGCAGAAACTCCACCCAAAACTTTTCAAAAATCAAGTTCAATCCATTTCAACCCAAATGCAAGACCTTATCATTTTCAGTGATTTAACTAATATCAGGAATCCAAAACCAGCAAAAATTCAATAGTTTTCAACCAGAAAAAGTGCAGGAATTCAGAGTGCAGCTGTTTCAGTTTTTATGGAATTTTTCAGTCTCTATCTTTTCTGTGTTTTTTTTCTTCCAAGCTCTCTAGGATCTGATCCTCTCTCAACTATCTCTTTTTTTTCTATCTTCTTCTTTCTATATATGATCTGATCTCTATTCTCCTCTTGGATCTCAATTCTCTCTATGTTCTTCTTAGAACTCTTCCCTTCTCTCAGACTGATATCCTCCTTTTAATAGATAGCATATTAGTGCACTCCCCACTACAAATGTCCCTTCCCCTATTTTTTATAGTTGATTCCACTTAAACCTTATCTTTATCTTATCCTTAGTGTAATCATAACCCTACCACTTATTAGAAACTTCCTAAGTTAGGTGAACACGTCCCTAATCCAAACAATCCCTAGATTACCCCTTTAAACTTTGTTATTTACCCTGAAAATCTCATGAGTCATGGGTCAAGTTGACCCAATAACTAAACCAGACCTGGGCTCCAAAATAACTCGAATCATTTCCAATTTGGGCTTTCTGATTTCAGAAACCCAATTAACATTGAAAGCCTAAGACTCTTTAAGTATTCAATTTGCCGAGTCTTAAAGATTTGACCAATTCAGGCCCAAAACAAAAGAAAAAATCTAACACGTCCAGGCCAGAACACAAATAATTATTAAACACAAACTAAAATCAACATGTACGCACAGATAGTGAAAAAATGAAAATAAAAGAAAGAATAGAAGAAGATGAGAAAAGAACAAAACGAAATATTAAAAGGTGAAGCCAAAATATCTAAAAACTCGGACCAATAGGAAACAGGGACTGAATCTCCAAAATCTTCCAATTTCGGCCCAATTCGATATTATTCGTGTGTTCTTAGCAAGAACACACGAATAAAGTCAAAATAGGCCTAAATCGTTGACGAAACTTTGATTTGGACGTTTTTTGGGATTTTAGGGTTTCACTTTCGATCTAAAATTCGAGAAGCTCGGGCAAGATTCGAGGGAAACTGATCCGGGATTTGGAAAGAGGGGGTCGTGGTGGTTCTGTGGTGTTATTTTGGTGGTGTTTGGAGCTGGCGCCGCCACCCCAAGGCGGTGGGGAATGGTGGCGGCTGTCTCTAGGGTTTTGAGAGATGAGAGACAATGAGGGGGTTCTGAGGGGGTGTGGGTTATTCCGGGTTTTTTATTAAAAATGGGGGGGGTTGATCTCAGCCGTTAGATTGAAAAGAGATCAATGGTTCAGATCTCTTTTCTAATGGAACGACGTTGTTTGGATTAAAACGGGGTCGTTTGGTCGCTTGAAGAGATGGACCGGGTTGGGGCGGGTCTGGGCTGGTTTTTGGTTGGGTTTGGTCGGGTTTTGGGCTGGACTGGGGCGGGTTCAGGGGTAATTTCGATTAGGCTTGACAGAATTGAATTAAAACGGCCCAAATGTTATTCTTTCTTTTTTCCCTTTTCAAAAAATCTTTTTTAATTCCTTTTTCTTTTTCAAAAAATGAAAAATAAAACAAAACCCAACTTAATTCCTAACCCCAAATTATCCTAAGTTAATTAACCCTAATAATTATTACAACTAATTAAATACCAAATTAAAGGAAAACCAACAAAATTCAAATCTAAAAATTGAATAATGCAAAATAAACCATTTTTGTGATTTTTCCATTTTTTGTAAAGCAAATAAATTACTAACTGATTTAAAAATGCAAAATTAAATCCTAAATGCAAATGCAACATATTTTTGTATTTTTTTCATAATTTGAACAAAATTAACATGCGCAGACAAATGCAAGTACTTAACAAAAAATGAGTCAAAAATCTCCGAAATTGCAAATAGTGGAAAAACTTATTTTGTTTTGAATTTATGGGAGTAATTCATATAGGGCAAAAATTACGTGCTCACACTTATTGAGTACATGGGGTCGGTTGTACTCATAGTACACTTCTGTACCTTGCGTGCAGATGTTGACTGATGATGTTGCTGTGTTCGACAGGAGCTGGACTTGAAGACGTACATGCATTCCGGTTGTAGCTGCCTCTTGTTCATGGTAGTCTTAGATTCATAAAAACTCTGTTTATGTACTTTTCGGATAGATGATGTATTTATTTCATACCCGCTTTGTAAATTCTATTCTTAGAAGCTCATGATTTGTACTACCAGTTCTTGGGAAATGTATCAGATTCAGATGTTTCTTTTCTTAATTGCCTTATTAAATTATTATTGGAATTGGATATTGTTAATTGGCTTACCTGGCAGGTTGGGTTAGGTGCAATCACGACTAGTTGGATTTTGGATCGTAACATTTAGTCAAGCCTTTTTTTTACATACTATTTGATAAAAAAATAAATACACAGTAAAATAAGTAGTTATTTCATCGAAAAAATAATAAATTATATAAATTGTGGTATAATATGTGCAATATATTAATAAATAAAAGAAATATACAGTTAGAACAAACGAATCATTGTATATAACTATACGACAATTAGTGGTTGAAAAATACCCTACTTGAAAGCTGATTTATTTTTTTTAGTTTTTCATCACCTCTCACGTGCCTAAAAGAGATTGTATCCACTCTCTTTTCCATGTCAGCATTCAGGCGGACGAAACTTATCAAATTGCCAACTTTAGGAGAGTAAATAACACTAAAAATAGTTCAGATATGTATTGAATATCTTAAGTGGCTGTTATATATACAAGGGATTTTTACACAAATAGCCGGTCAGGTTCACTATTTATTATTTTTAGTCAGTATATATAGATTATACATTGATTATATACTGTTATAAAAATACTACTCCCTCCGTTTCAATTTATGTGAACCTATTTCCTTTTTAGTCCGTGCCAAAATGAATGGCCTCTTTCCCTATTTGGAAACAATTTACCTTTATGCAATGATTTATAGCCACACAAAATATATGTGCTTCATTTTACACCACAAGTTCAAAAGTCTTCTCTCTTTTCTTAAACTCCGTGCCCAGTCAAATGGGTTCATATAAATTGAGACGGAGGGAATACATATGGATTATATATGTATTATACATGAGTCGGCTATTTTTAGTATAAGCAGTTGGGTGGGCGACTATCTAGGTTAATTCTTCTTATTTTAATAAAGCTTTTTATTGAATAAATTTTGGAGAAGTATTTCGAGAACGTATAGAGCATATCTCAGGCAAATATCCCTCCAGATATTAATAAGGTGGGGAGAAGATATACCCCAACTTATTATATACTATTCCAATTTTTAATTTTTAATTTTTAATTTTTTGAGATTTTTTTAGGAATGCTAATGCGAAATACTTTATTTTAGGCAAATATTTGCAATACGTTCTTTTGAGTGTTAAATTAAGAAAAAGAACATACAAGATTCACTTTACAATTACTACTATCTAAATGCATAGTGACTTTAAGATTGTGAAAGACTTTAACTGAATTTTTTAATTTTATTAATTTAAATGTAATACAATAAACTCATAGGGGTAAAGGATAATTTGTTATTCAGAAGATCACGATGAGAAGAAAACGAGAAAAACAGTTAAAGAAAAAAGAAAAGATCTTTTGGCTGCATAGTCTCTACCTATGCTCTAAAATTGATAAATAAGTCAATCAGAGGCTTCTAAAATTAACACAAATCTGAGAATCAACATTGGCCTTGGTTTAAATATCATATGCGAAAAGAAAATTAAACATAAGTGCGTCGATATTTACTACATGTGCATTTTTTATGTGACATCAAGTATCAAAGTGAAAGAGAGTTATTGTATAATAGCAAAATTAAACATACTTCTAATTCCTTAGATTTTGGTTACATTATATATAAATTGGTTTCGAGAAAAACACTTTAATTCCAAAATAAATACTTCATTACTGTGTGCTAGTTTATTTACGGTGATGTCAATTAACATTAGCTTTGAAAAGTTGGATGAGGACTTAACCGATAATTTTGAAAGATGGGTCTCATTTTTATTTCTAACCAATAATGTCTTACTATATTTTGCATGCTCACTTCTCACCTTCTTATTGGCTAGAATTAATGCAAGTGTTATTTTGCGTTTATCACCTAACCTTTGCAAAATTAGGTATAACGTAATAAAAGGCAAGATCAATCAATTTGCATGAACAACTTTTTTCCAACTTTTGGCCAAGTCACTATCCTAGGTCCGAGCAATAGACATCGAAACATAATTAAAGACCCAAAATTTGGTCAACTAGTACGAGGAGTACAATGAACTGTTTCAACCCAAAATTTTGACATGCAAACAACCTTCTACCTTCTCATTGGCTAGAACTTATGCAAGCTATGCGTTTATTACCAACCTCTGCAAAATTAGGTATAACACAACAAAAAGCAAGATCATTCAACCTGAATGAATATTTTTTTTTTTTACTTAAAGCAAGATACTTCTTGCAAATATGTAGTTCAAATCCATGGTAGCTATAAAAGGATGTCTCTATGGCAAGAAATTCAATACAATCCAGTAAGAAAAAATCACTTGTTAAAGAAATCACAGGGAAATCCAAAATGACAACAAACAATGTTATGCTTGTGTCCCTTTTATTTTTACACTGTTTTCTATAGTCTTCTTTCCCCAATCCCTAGCAATGACCATCCGAGCTAAGATCGAACGATTTAAACCCAAACAAAATTTCACTGGCGAAATGGCACCCAATGACTTGCGAAGTCCCCTTTCGCGTCGGCCGGATCATGGTTTCGTTGCAAATATATCTATTGGTGAGCCTGCCGTCTACCAGTTGGTACTAGTAAACACGGGTAGCAACATATTCTGGATTCAATGCTGCCCATGCAAAAAATGTGGAGATCAAAACCAAATTCCTCATTACGACGTTGACAAATCATCAACGTATTCCAAAGTTTCTTGCGACTCTTGGACGTGTCGCGAGTTCGATGGGCAATGTAATGAATGGCTTGAGTGCATATACATATCGGCATACATAGATTGCACTTGGTCTAGAGGAATTGTTAGTGAAGACACTCTTCATTTCATTACCTCCGATAACGAGGTGGAGAGTGTTCCCAATGTAGCTTTTGGGTGCGGAACATATAATTATGGAGATGAATTCGGGTACGAGTACAGTGGGATACTTGGTTTAGAGCCAAGTGAAGCATCGGGAATGACACAAATCGGATACCAATTTTCCTATTGTATTGGGCATATCAAGGACATTAATGATTCATACAGTCACCTCATCATGGTGACGAGGCGAGGTTAGAGGGGGATTCAACACCCTTGGAAATCTTTAATAGCTCATATTATGCTATGTTGGATGGGATTAGCATGGGAGAAATGCTTATAGCAGACAAAAAGCTGGAAACATTCAACAGGTTCCGAAAATTAAAACCGGCGGCCTGTTATGCTTTGAGGGCCGTGTCTCGGAGGATTTAGAAAACTTTACCGAGGTCATATTTCACTTTAGTGGAGGTGCCGATTTAGCTGTGGGACCAGATGCTCTATTTGACCAATCTCGCCAAAGGGTTTTTTGCATGACTATTTTGCCAACCTCGGCAAATCTGTCTATTCTAGATCATGAAGCAGAAAATCTCACAATTATAGGCATATCAGCAACGCAAGACCATAATTTCGGGTTTGACATAAAGGAAAAACTTGTGTACATAGAGGATGTTGACTGTAAGACGCTATCAGATTACGACTGAAAATTGTAATGCTATTCTGATTTGGATCGATGCATAATCTTTTCTAATGCTATTCTGCCAGACTTTTTAACAACATTTATTCATATTGTCTGGATTACTCTTGTTAATTTGTTGCTTAATTAAATTATTTCATAATCTTTGTGGATAATCAGAAGGTTAAAGAATCACAGTGGTTATCCCTTTTTCTATTCCCTTGTGAGATAATGTAATTCCAGAAAACTAATCATATGCCAAAAAAAATTAAAAAAAAATAAAAATTGGTCATACTAAGAAAGTAAATAAAACACGAACATATAATAATTATCATGCAATATTGTTATTATGAAATATATATAT